ACTCTGTCCCTCCGGAGTGTTTCTCCCCAGCACCTAGTTTCATTTGAGACTCGGTGCTTGCGGTGCCTCTGCGTGGGGACAGTAAATTGCAGGGTTTTAACCACCCTTAAACTGGATTGTTGAATCTACTCTGCATGTCAGCTGCATTATTCTGTTAGAATGTCATAAAATGCTCTTGTTGGTTATTTAGTTGCCAATACGAGGTATTGAAAAGTGAGGAATTTCTCGGAAGTGTGTGTGAGGAATTAATAGGAAGAATTAAGCCAGGAGATGAATCATTTAGGCTGTGGAACTGTTGTCGGCTGCTTTAGATGTCTAATGTGAGCGTGAGTCGGAGCACGCTGATGGGAGAATCTGGCTAGATTTTGTAGTCTGTGGAAGGGGGGAGAGGGACGTTTTTTGCAGGCAGCTAAAGATGCTTATGTGCTTAAACTTAGAGCAAATATTCCAGTGTTTTTGGAAATACTGTGTGTTGTTGGAAGGAGGACACTCAAACAGCTAACTCTGGTATTTTTTCAGGATCTGTTTGTAAAAGCTGAAAGCATGTGGGGATGGAAGTAGGGATTCGGTTCCAAAACATCGAGAAACATGGATATGTATCCTCAGACTTCACGTGCCAATTGCTGTGACATCTGTGGTGTGAAATGCTATTCCATGTACTCCTGCAACAGATTTGCAAATTCATACGGCATAGGCTTTTGCATGAAAAGGGTTTTGTCGCAAGGTCTACCCTAAAATACGTGGGTTCCTGAAGTATCAATCTTGTAATACTTCATGTAGGGAGAGGGGCCTGGGTAATGCAGCATTTTGCAGCGGGAAGTTGCCGAACGGAGGTGGGATCGATGCGTGACTCACGGTTTAGCTGGAGAATCGCTCCACGTGTGTGTGCCGGGGAGAAGTCTCCGCTAACGGTGTTAGTTCAGCCGGCTCTGCGCGAAGCAGGCGCGCGTTTTGATGGGGTTCCTGAGGAGCTATGAAAGCAGGCTCAGGATAATCCCAGGAGTTTACTTCATTGGTGTCTCTTTGCAGCTGTTCTTCGTGTGTTGTGTCGACACCAGTGTAAAAGCAGGTTTTTGGTTTAATTGCTTTGCAGGCTGTCTGTATTGCCAAACTTAATTTGGAAAGGAATTGAACAGCCAAGATTTATTCTTTCTCAGAATCATGTCTAGGGATTTTTTAGCTTTTTTTTTTTGTTAGTAGACTGCCAGGTTATTTAGCCCTTCCAAAACGTGTGATTTCTTCCCGTTTTTGTCCCGCAGTTGTACCCACGCTGCCTCTGAATTTCCTGGGTATTAGGAAGATACTGAGATAATTCCCCTCTTCATAAACCAACAGAGAAATACTGCGGATTTAAGAAATTTTAAAACATGAGGCTCTAGAGGAAATGAAGCAACAACCCTAAATATCATCTTTGTAGTAACAGTTCCTCTGTGGATTTTTCTTTTTACCAATGTGTGTTTTTAGGCTTACTAATCCCTTATCAGAGCGTGCAGGTGGCTCCAGAGGGTGCGCGCGCTCGGAGGGCCGGGTGCCTGCTTCTCCTGTAAGGTGTGGTAGATGCACCAGGAGCGATAGGAGAACTGCAAAGCTGAGTGGGATGAAGCAGCCGGACAGGTAGGATTAGCAGGACACTTGAGGAAGGGGGATTGGGTAGATGGGCAGGCACAGGGAGGCTGTGAGCAGACCTCTGAGAGCGAAGGGAAGTAGTTTGAACTTTGTGGGTATTTTATATATTAAGAGATCAAATTAGGCCTACAGGGTGATTTTGATTGCGACATTCTTAGAAGCAGAAGCCAACACAGCAGAGGAGAATGAGCTTTACAACTTTATAGCGTGTTGGGAGGGTAACAGATTGAAATGTGAAAATTGAAAGTGCGCGGTGTTAACGACACACTGCCCGGGACTAAGAACTGTGGTTTTTCAGCCTATAACTAGAGTTGCATAAGTGAACTCCAAGGTAGCTCTGAAGGGATTAAGTTAGCTTGGGTATTTGCATAGGCGCTGGTGATGAGCAGCATACTATTCAGCAAAATGCTCTTTGCACAAAAATTAGCATGCTGGTTATCTAATGTTTAAATAAATTGTGCTCAGAAGTAATTCTGTGCATACTTAGTTCCTCAGACTACTTCATGTCTTACTTCTAAGAAGGTGGATCAGTGGATAGGTTCTCTAAAATAGTTGTTTTATTATAGCTTCGGTGTTCTGTTCGGGTTAGCTCAGAATTGCAGTTTTAGCTCCCAAAGGTGAGGTGGGTGCAGTTCATGTGCCATAGTGCAACACTGTGTCAGAGGTGGAAGCTGTGATTAAATTCTGAATTTGTGCTGATCCTGTTTTAAAAGGGATTTAAAACTGTGGATCGTGCAAATTTTTTTTCGCCAGTTGGGCTTTTTTAGCTGAAACATGATGAGTGTAATGCAGCTGTTTAAGGCTGTGATGAGAGCCAGCTTAGTGTTCTTCAGAATGTTCTCCAGCGTGACAGCACTGCTGTAGCTCCATGTTCCGTGCTCCTGAAAACCATTCGGCACTCACTGATGGTGGCAGACTCAGCATGCCTTTTTAAGGCCTCCGATATGACCACACTTAGAATTCTTCTGACCTCAAGAGTAACTCTGGATTGTGAATACAGAACTTTCTTCCCTGGGCCTGTTCGCAGTGTCATTGTGCTGGTTAAACGGTGTCTCAGTTCTGTTGATGGCAATTCTCCTCGGAGCCTGTACAGCAGAATGATGGCACGGCATGAAAACGTCATTAAAAAGAAGGTGAAACGGAATTTCCTTTGGACTCTGAAATAGCTTATGTTACGTGTGGTGGCTCTGAAGTCTTCTGTAAAGAGAACTTTGTGGAAATCGAGGGTGAGATCTGACTGTAGCTGGCAGGGTGGTTAATATGCAGGGGATCCCCGTCTTTTCAGGGTGAAAGAGGTACTGGTATGTGCTGCCTTTCGTACCCAGAATGTTTGAAAGCTGGTAAAGACTCATGACTAATTCACTACAGCATATGCTGAATTATGATGAGTAATCTTATTTTTGCTCTAAGACCTAGAAAACACCTTGAGTATCATTAAAATATTGTCATATAATTACAGCCTGAATTTAGTATGTTTGTATATTGCAAAATGATGTACGTGAAGCTTATAAGTAATTGAATTCTGTGTTTTTGCAGCTTAAATCTTGTGGGGTTTTTTAATGATCAAGAAGCCTTGCTGAAGATCATTTGAAATAAAGATTAAAAAATGAATGCTGAATGGCTTCTGTTGTGTGCCCAGGCTGAGGGAGGTGTGAAGGATAACTCGTCTGTGGAAGTGGTTGATCACAGGCGCTCTTGGAGGCAGCGTGGTGTAGCTTGAGTACCTCAGCTGGGAGAGTTTGGTGCTCCTGTGATGATCTGTCCAGCTGCTCCTTCATAGCTTTTCCAGAGAGCACTTTCCACTGGGTGCGTGCAGGTGCCCCTTTCAGAGGAGATGCTTCCTGCCATCGCGCCTGGCGGGTTTTTCCATTCCCTTGCAGGACCTAGGGGAAGGATTGCTGTTCATGGAAACTGGCTTTTGTTTGTTTCCTATTTCTCATAAGCCTCCTATAGCAGTTCCTTGGAAGCTGAGCAACTTTGAGATAAGGAGCATTTTGCAAGTGAATTCCAGTTAGCTTTAAAAATAAATGACAACTACTTATTTCGGAGAGCTGCTTTGGTGGGGAGTAAGAGTTGTATATGCAATTGTGGGTTTGTTCTAGGACTGCTTTTGTGATTGGGTTTGAACTTTGTTAGTTAAGCTGGCTCACACTGTACATTTATGAATGTATAGCTTTCCTTTTCATTTGATGTTTATCAAGGTCTAGTGCATACTCACAGTTAAATGGAATCAGGAGTTTGCCTGAATCGAAATGCATCAGGAAAACAAACAATTCTTGTCCTTCTCTGACTCTTTCCATCCCATACTTTCCCCTTGTTTGTTATCTTGAATGAAGTGTAACCTTGATTTCACATTCTTTTTCTCCTCCTCCTTTTCTGACAAACCAGAGCTGTTTGAGGTAAGAGTATCAAAGAAGAGAAGAAAGAGGAGTAAGAGTTCACAGCTGAATACTAAATTTCTTTAGTTCCTCACACAGAAGCCTTAAAAGCTGGAAGATTTTATGCAGTGTTTCAGAAATTTAACATAGTTCTTCACATGTTACATTTTCGGTTGTTTCAAAAGTGTCAGGCTTTAGCTTCTTAATATTATAAATAAATAGGATGTAATAGGACTTGCTTTAAAAGATAATTTTACTGTATAAAACATCAACTCTCTCGGTATATACGAAGTTACCAAATAGGATGAAGTTAATCTTCAGGGATTCTGAGAGGAAATATTATTTATATGTACGGGTTTTATGTGGCAGTTTCTTTTAAAGGGACAAGTTTGAGTGATGTACAGCTAAGTATCACTTACATTCAATTTTGTATAACAGGAGTTTAGGTTTAGATGTGATTTACCAAAGAAGTTTGAGTTCAGGTTCAGTTGTGATTAACAACCAGCAAGTTGATTTTCTTAGGTGAAGGCTTTGGATTCTGGTAGGGACTTAAACCATAAAATGTAGTATCTTGAGCACAGCATTTTGTGATGAAGTGTGGTGTATGAAAATCTGTTTAGGAATACAGTTAATATTTACAAGTACTCTTCCTCTTTCCAGCCTTGCTGTATTTATGTGTAAGAGCACCACTGGTTTTAGAGAGGAAAATCATAAACATTTCCTTTTTTCTACAGTGTTCCCTTTACTGTGTGAACAAGACTCATCTTTTAAAGATTTGCTGTAGAAACCAACAGTTGTGTAAATACGTAGGGATTTTGGGTGGGGGTGCAGGCAGTGGACCAGTATACCTAGAAATTATTTTCATTACAGAAATGGAGAACTAGGGTTGACTGAGACTCAGTGCCCAGACAGCTGCTGCACAGAGAGTTGCGAAGTGTGGATTTGAAGGTATTTATAACCAATTCATTTTGATAATTTGATTATTCTTTATTGTAGTTCTGCCTTTGACACAAAAACTGGGTTGCGTGTGGCTGTAAAGAAGCTGTCCCGACCATTTCAGTCTATCATCCATGCCAAAAGGACCTACCGAGAGCTGCGGCTACTTAAGCACATGAAACACGAAAATGTAAGTGATGGTATGAAAGGCTGGTCTGAAGTTGGACTGTCCAGTGAGCATCCAGCGTGACTGCATTTAAGGATCTTGTTGTGTATAGTTTTTTTTCTAACACCAAATGCAAAGCTTGCAGGAGCCCAGGGGATTATAGTTGTAGAAAAGCACGCAGATGAAAAAAAAACCCAACAAAAATACATCACTAATTTTGTATTAAAAAATCTTACTATTTCCTAGGGTAACCTGGAAATTACTCCTTAGCAGGTTCATGGTATCTTAAGGATTTGGGACACAGATGATGTCACTTAGATTCTCCTGCTCGCTTCCTGTAGTAAGCTGTGGGTTTTGTTATGGTCAGAATGTGTTTTAAAAAAAAGAAAATCTGAAAGGTTGGTTTTTAGTGTCTTCTGGAGGGTTTTTGCTATTTGGTTTGGCTTGCCTGTGTCAGCAGGGTGTGGAGTAGAGTTCCCTAGATTCCTGGAGGTAAAATGGGCAGGGGAAAAGGCAGTGCTGAGGGGTGGAAATTGGATGGCTTTTCGTAGAAGCCATCCACTTAAATCATCAACAGGGAAACGTGACAAATGTTATGTTGAACTATTTTTGGTATCACCTCCATTTGGTATAGAAAACAGTGTTTGTGGCATGAACACACCAACATGTTTCTGTTGTGTGTTGTTCAGGCCAAATGTTAATGTGCACTGGAGCAAAAATTCTCAGCACCTGCCCTCTGTAGAGTTGCCCGAGCATCTGCAGGGAAGGAAGACGCTTTGCCTGGACAAAACCCTCCAAAACTCCAATGTAGCAGAAGGGAAATAGGGTTTTGGGAGGGGGCTGAGCAAACCTGGGACCTCTACCCAGCACAAAAAGCCATACAGGCCTAATTTTGTTGGAGCGTTCTCCTTGGATGTCTGTTCAGAACAACTTGTGGCAGTGAGGGCTGTGTTGTGGCTTCTAACCGCCGCAGTCAGCAGCTGGTATCCCGTAAATCTGCTCGGCGTCTTTAGTGTGGCTCAATAATTAGAGCCTTTGATGCCTACATGTGCTCCTGTCAACAGTTCTGCCTCAGTGCCTCCGCACGGCCATTGTCTCAGCCATGGAGGTAGTGCTTGATCCTGCTTAGTATCCATCCCCTGGAGTTTTTCCTGGACCTTCCTCTCGTAGCCGAGATATTCTTCGAACAGGAAAGCTTTGAATATCTGTGACCAAAAAGTTTAAATCAGCACATCGATCCAGTTTGTCGAAGCTAACAAGGTTAAGCAGTGAAAATGAGATTGCGACTGGTGCTACAACAGTTGTGTGTCTGGTGCTCGTTAATGTTTTTAGATTAGTGCTGCAAGAGCGTGTGTAGATTTGACAGTAAGGGATAAAAGGAATTTGTTTCTGCGGGAAGTTTATCCAAGCTGTAGTTTAAAAACCCTGCAGATGCAGAGTGGTCCAGAGCCAATTCAGGCAGGCTTCTGAGTGCTGGTGGGCTGACTGTTCGGATCTCGGTTCGGAAGTGAGCCACTTGGTTTCACGTGGCACAGAACACACCAGTGAATCCGGTAGGTATGGCGGTTTAAGGGGCTGGGGCATAGGATGGTTTTCTCCATGCAGGATCTAGGCTGGTTTGTGGAGATCCTGAGCAAATAAATGGACCGTCAGAGCACTTCAGGTCTGCGTTGTGTTTTCGAGTTCCAGAAGGCCTTGTTAGCTTGCATAAAGCACGCCACCGACCAGATGGGAGAGCAAATGGGTTTGTTGTCGTGTGAAGAAATTAATAAGCTCTGTGATATCCTAAAATGCTGGGAAGGGAAGTCAGGTTAGGAGTTGGGTTCTGAATCTCCCGGTGTTCACACTTCCTCAGTGAGTCAGTGATGTGCTGCAGAATAACTGGTCTGAAGTGTTTGTGAAACTTGATGAAAGATACAGATAGTTTGATGGTGTGTAACACGATAAAAGTGACACATGAAAAAAAGTCTGCATAGCAAAGTCACTTCTCATCTTTCCATGCTAAACTACGTGGATAGCGTTGAATTTTTCCTTAAAAGTGGATACAGAATAGTCTACTGGAGAAAGAAACTGTAAGCATGAGAATTATTGCACAGGATGGATGTGAGTGTTACAGTTTGAAGATGTGTGTTTAGACGTGGAGTTGCTGCGATGTGTATCGAGAGGCAGGAAAGTGTTTTCTCTTCAGTTTCCTTGACAAAATTTAATCTCTGATGTGTAATACAGATTAGACGGAGGCTTTTATCTCCTACCCACTTGTGATCTTTTCCAAAACCATAGTCTAGGTTCTGCAAAGGTTTTGTCTCGAATTCTCTGCTTGACGGTAACTCGGTTGATTCTGACATCCTTGGCAAGTGTAAGCCATAGGATGAAAAGGATGGTGCGTAGGGATCCAGCTCTTCCGTGCACACTCGGACCATTGCTGCAGTTGCTGAAACGCGTGTGCGTGCTGTTTGTGTGTCCGAGATGGGTGAGATGCTGACTTAAAAAGGGAAGAGGAGTGTTTTGGGAGTGGATTAAGAGAACCTGTCCCATTATCTCATATATTCATAAAATAAAATAGGATTTGCTATTTAGAGAAGGAAAATAAGGTTTAAAAGCACATTCTGGTGGAAATTAGAATGGTCTTTATCCACCAGATGGATTTTTTTAAATGCTGTAAGTGACCTAGAAGATAATTACAGGATAATAAGGTATAGTTATTCCTTTCCACAAGGTAAACACTTGCATGTCCTTTTATTCTCTACTGTTAGCACAGCTCAGCTGTAAAGTGAAAGGTGGTGTGGCTGCTCTTTGGACGGAAAATACAAAAGACAGCATGAAGCTGTTTGTGAAAATGGGGTCCTCGTTGCATTGCACTGTCTTCCTGACTTATTTTCTACTGTCTTTATTCATTGCTTGTGTTACAGATCCTGGAATTTTTGTAGCCATTACTTGGTACAAGTGAAACAAATAGTCTCCCAGTTCTGACTTTCATATGTAGTCAACCGAGTAACTAAGAACTGAGCAGGAAGCAAACAGTTTTGTCTGGTGATTGTTTTTTTTTTTTTCCCCTAATCCATTTATTTCCTGAATAAACTTCAGTTGTTTTTTGAAAAAAGTAAGAAATAAGCACTATACCAGTGTTTACACCTGCCTTTTGTTATGGCTCCTGTTGGTGCTTTAAGTGGATGTGAAATGCTGGTGTGAAGAGCCACCTGTTTATTTTTAACCTTGATTTTTCTCTTTTTTTACACAATAGTTTGATGTTTGTTTCTGATCTTTATGAATACTAATTTTTCTACATCTGAGTGATTCATGTAGTTGGAAATGAAACCCGTACTGGAAAGAATAGTTTCTGTTCCACAAAGGATCTTAGTAACTGTCATATTATACCGTGAATGTATTTCACAGCTTTTTCACTCTACCGTTTTCTTTGTAGGTGATCGGTTTGTTGGATGTGTTCACCCCTGCCAAGTCCCTAGAAGAATTCAATGATGTGTAGGTAACTTCTCTGAAGGCTGCAGCAAAACACACTTGTATCTTCCTTGCATCTCCCAGACTAGTACAGAAATACTTCCCATCTTAATTTGTCTGCCATCTTTCTCAAACAACTGTGAATTCTGACACACAAGATGCCAGGACATCCTAACCTACTGCACTCTCCTGACACGTTCACATGTGTTTTGTTGACTGGTGCTGTAGGAATTGGTGTACAGATCTGTGTTAATTAAAGCATGTTGTGAGCTGTATTTCATTCAGCAACACGCTTTGGGATGGTCAGCCCTGCTACGGGAGCTTCATAGGGGAATTTTATCCCAATCCTGCTGAGGGGATTGCTTCATAATCTGTGTTTCCCTTTGTTCACAGGTACTTGGTGACACACCTCATGGGAGCAGATCTGAACAACATTGTGAAATGCCAGAAACTCACCGATGACCACGTGCAGTTCCTCATATACCAGATTCTTCGGGGACTCAAGGTACTTGCACCTGCCCTACCTGAGTGTTGATAGCTCATCAGCGGGAGGTGGATGTTCCTGATGAACGTCATATCCTCAGAGATTTGTATGAGTACATGGTGGGGCTTCTGGAACTTTCCTAACGCATTGTAGGATAACCTATTATTATTGTCCCTTCCCTTCATACCTCTCTGGAGCTCGGTATCAGGAAAGCTGTGTATCATTTAAGAATACATCTCTACATGCCCCTATGGGTAGAGTCTGGAAAATAATGGAAATCTGCTGCCCCTAATCTGCTCTGACTGAGTCTTCCCTTTCTTCAGTTTATTTACTCGTGGTGTTCCACTGGTGGTGGCAGTGCTCCTGGGTGTTCCTAGGAGAGACAAAGTGAAGTGACCCCTACTTGAGACACGCGCGGTTCCTTCTGCAGATGAGCTCTAGCGTTTGAATTGTGTGGGGTGGGGTAAGGCAGTATTGTCAGGTGAAGAAATGCGAAGGAGGCTACTTGGACTGTTACATAAAACTTGTCATCTTGCCTTACAGTACATCCATTCAGCTGACATAATACACAGGGTGAGTACTCATCCTAAGATTGCTTCCTGTTCTGAACCAGTGTCTTTAAATAGTGTAGCACAGAATCTTAGTGTAGCACCTATAGAAATGAGATTAAATTTTCCAAGAATTATTTCAGTTATAACAGTCGAAAAGTTAACTGTGGGAAGTGGATGTCAAGATCCACAGTTTCTGTTCCTGCCTGTGTTTGACTCTTATCTTTGTGAAACAGAGTCTCTTTAAGTGTAAATCTAGAGCACTGGTGTTGCAATAAGCCTTTATGCATTTTTGCTTGTATGTGACACCTCTGAGGACCGCAGAAGAGGTGGCTGACTCTGGGATAAAGCAGTTTTCCTGAGTGTGGGGAGTTAATATTTACAGCCAGTTCGAATCTATTTTCTGTCTGCACTGACATTTGTCTCTACTTGAGACTTGTGAAACATGTACACTGCTGTTAATGCTGATGTTGTTTAATTTTTTAGGATTTAAAACCTAGTAACCTGGCTGTAAATGAAGACTGCGAGCTAAAGGTGATGTCATCACAAGGTCTGCTTGGTTTGACTGTGGTTTGAGTGGGTGCCTTGTGGATGTCCCTTGGAATTAAAGGGACAAAAGCATTCCTTAGGGAAATACTTCAGTGGCCCCAAGGGATAGTGTCCTTCCTAGCTGTGAAGGGCCGTAAGGATGTTTTTTCTGTATCTGTTCATGTGTTTTTAATGAATCGTCATGAAGAATTATCAGCTTTAGTTTGGGTTTCCTTGGTTAGAGGGAAGTTATCCAGACATAGTTCTGATTGAGTCCTGCGCTGTTCTCGGCTGGTGTCTTTTAACAGGTTGTGAAACTGAGTTTCATAATCTGCTTTTGCAGTTGCACCACCGCTCCTCCACGCAATCCAATAACTGCCTACTCATTCACTCTAGCTGGTGTGCATTGTTCCACTGCAGTAGTTGCTGGATGTCTCTTCTCTTGTGTAGATCCTGGATTTTGGCTTGGCCCGACACACAGATGATGAGATGACCGGGTACGTGGCCACCCGGTGGTACAGGGCTCCCGAGATCATGCTGAACTGGATGCATTACAACCAGACAGGTAATGCACTTATCGAACACAAGCCTTTCAGTTCCTGGATTGTGGCAAAACAGAGGTGGTCCTTTGTACATGCTCCTTCCCATTTGATCCTGTAAGCTGGCAGTCGTGGTGATTAGGCTTCAGTAAGGGTGATTAAAAGGAAGAAGGCGTAGAATCAGTATTTGAAGTGCAGTCTACCAGATGTAAGTTAAGAGTCATTGTGATAGCATTCAGGAGTTGAAATTGCAATCAGCACAATGTTTTTTGCACTCACCCCTTATTTTCCCTGGCACAGTGGTTTTTAAAGTGAGTGAGTGGAATTACCTGGATGAGGAGTAGGTGTGTTTCTAGAGAGTGAGTGGATGAGGAGTAGGTGTGTTTCTAGGAAGCTGCTGCAAATATGCTGAAAAATGTCTGGATTTCCAGTGTGAAGAAATGCTGGAAACTCTATACCTCTCCTTTCCTTCCCTCTCTTCTTAGCCATGCCTTCACGGTTGTATTTTACTCAGTTTCCAGCGTCTTCCTAGCCACACACCTTGCTTCCCTACAGTACTTCCAGATCAGGCACAGAGAAGAAAAGCAAATTCTGAGAACAATCCTTGTGCAGGAGAGCATATGGATCAAAGAAAATAATGTGCTACTCTGATTTCACACCTCACTACTTCTTTTCTCTTTTCCTTTTGCATACTGGTGTCCGCAGTATGATAGCGGGTGTTTGGTTGGGTAGAGTTTACGTAAGGCCATATGCAAATTCATTCCTCAGCTGCCTTGAACAGGTTTCTCCCCCTTGGATTGTGTCGATTCCTCCCCAGCTCTTCGGTGCTCAAGGCATGTTATGCTCTGGAAGGAAAGTTGCCTTGATCTAGTATTCTGTTAATTGGACAAGCCTTAGACGATGTCCTAGATGATCATAGAATCATGGAATGGTTAGGGTTTGAAGGGACCTTAAAGATCATCTAGTTCCAACCCCCCTGCCATGGGCAGGGACACCTTCCACTAGACCAGGTTGCTCCAAGCCTCATCCAGCCTGGCCTTGGACACTTCCAGGGATGGGGCATCCACAGCTTCTCTGGGCAACCTGTCCCAGTGCCTCACCACCCTCTCTGTGAAGAATTTCTTCCTGATATCTAATCTAAACCTCCCTGATTTCAATTTGTACCCATTACCCCTTGTCGTATCACTACAGGCCCTTGTCAAAAGTCCTCTCCCAGCACCCATGTATGCACCCATGATGCAGTTACTGAACCCTATCAATCAGCTCACAACCTCTCTTACGTTGTTTCAGTGCCCTAAAACAAAGGATAAAGTTGTTTGTACTTGTTGGATGGAGTGATTCCGAGGCTTTATTTTTCTGCATTATGCTGTTTTGTGTTTTGTTTTACTTTGTTCAGTTGATATTTGGTCGGTGGGATGCATTATGGCTGAGCTGTTGACTGGAAGAACGTTGTTCCCCGGTACAGACCGTATCCTTTACAAGCAGTTTTGTTTTCTGAAACAGAAGTGAGAGGTCTTCACTTTCACATACTTCACAAGAAGAGACATGGTGGGTTGGTTTGGTTGTGGGGGTTTTTGGTTGTTGTTACATTAATGGCTTTTCTTACAGTATGGTGGGGTGAGTTCTTGATTTTGCTGCGCATGAAACAATTGCAGTGTGCAAGAAGACAGGTCTGTTCCTTTTCATTGTCTGTTGGCATCGCTGGATTTACTCACTTGTTTGTTTCGGGGAGTTACTTTCCTTTTAAGTTCTTTAAATTCACTGCTCTCTGAGTTTGTAGGAAATAACCGCATGGAGTAGGCTGCCTGCTATGAATCCTCTCACACTCCAGGTTTCTGTGTGAAGCATCCCTTCTGGCCTCTCTGGATCCTGGCTGGCGGTTCGCTGCCAAAGCAGTGGGTTTGCAGATTCCTTAGTGCCAAGGAGCTCATTCCAAATTGCTCTGAAATGTTTAGGTTCCACTTCCGTGCTTGAGCGTAAACAGGTTGTGAGCCTTCTCTTACTGTCTGCTTGTGCCGATGTGCAAAATCCAGCTTGAATAACATCTTCCCAGAGTTGGTTTTTCACTGCACCAAAGTGGGCTGGGCAGGGCACCGGCACGTTTAGGCGAGTTGGCCGTGGTTGTCCCTGGTGAATTAGAACTGATGCTCTGTGCAAATTGTTCACTTACAACTTCCTTTCAGCCACGCAACGTAAAGGGGCAGTTTACTACCAGCAAGGCTTTTCATTGCCTAAAAATTGGACTTTATTTGCCAGGGAAAATCACATTGCCCACCTTTTACCCCTTCATTCTTTCAACTGCAGTTTGTTAATTTTAATAACTTCAATTTATTAGCATTTATATCTCTTCATTCCAACTCGTGTTGGAAGTGCTGGCCCTCTGTAGTATGGATGCTTTCTGGAAAGCTCTGAGATTCTAAAACGCTTTGGTGTGTGGGGTACGGCTTTCATTCCCATTCTGACACCGTTGCAGCTCCTTTTTCAATGTGCTGTACTTTTTTTCGCTCTTTCTGCCTGTCTCCATCTCATAATCTCTTTCCAAATTTGTTAACTTGCTGCGCTTTACTGTTCAGTCATCTCTGCTGCGTTTCTCTGTTGTCAGGGACAGAAGCAGCGCTAACACGAAAGTGGCTTAGAAGCTACAAAAAAGGTGCCTTCTCTGTTGGCTGCTTTTGCATGTATAATTTGGTTTGGGCAGATTTTGTTTGTTTCTCTCCAGAAAAAATGAGAAATCAAGAATTGTCGATTGAAACCAAGTAAAAATCTTTAAGCTGCTGCTTCTGTTTAACCCCAGTAACGCTTCAGATTTTAATAGTCTTGATACTGGCACATCAGGTGTTTGTGGATGGGATTTGCAGTATGAAGGAAATGCTACACGATGGAACAGAACCGTTATCTTCCCAGCCTGCCAAGGTTCTTCCCCAGCTGCGTTCTTAGCTGCGGATTACAGCAGACACCTGCAGTCCAAACTGAAGTTTGCGTTTAAGGTCTAAATCGTTTGCTTTGTCCTATTAAGATACTTCACTAATTTATCTCTCCCAGCAGGCGCTTGGGGTCCTTCACCGTAAACGCTCTGTTCCTTTTGCAAATGGCAGTAACGCTTTGTTCTGTCCTGGTTAGATTTAAGAAAAAGGCAAATCCTTTCCCGCTGTCGATGATATCTTGTAGTGCTGTAGTTCTTACTGTGTGTGGTTCCCCACTCCATGCTGTTCGATCGTGAGGTTGGAGCCGGAAGGGGAGCAGGGTTTGTGGCAGTGAATCTCACCTCTGCATGTGACTTCCCCACGGATGTAGAACAGCACCGAGCCGTCGCTTTCACCCCGGCGGTGCTGACATCTAAAGGCAGCAGGCAGAACTAAGGGAACGGCGGGTTCCAGCTTCTGCCTAGAAGGCTCTTTGAAATCTTTGTATAGGAATTTGCCAGATTTAGATCCTACTTGGTACTTCTGGGCTCCCAGTAATCCCTTTGTACCCACAGATGTGCTGGGGCCTGCGTTCCTCCTGCAGTGTCACTGTGCAGTTGCTGACTTCCTGACAGAATCGCAGAATAGTTTGGGTTGGAAGGGACCTCAAAAACATCTAGTTCCAACTTGGCAGTTAATACCGAGGTGCTTAATTCAAGGTGTGTTTACCATGCTTCCGGTAGCCAAGGATACAGTAAATCCAAAACCACTGCTGTTGTAGGGAATTCACTTGGCAGTTGGAGGCAATGTGACTGTGTATTCTGTGTATTCAGGAAGCTGGAACTTGCTACCATTTGGACAACTGAAAAATTGACATCCTTCCTGCTTTTTGGTCTCAAAATGTTAACTTTCTCAATTACATAACTTCACATTTCCAAAATTAAATAGGTAGCGACAGAGTAGGTAATGCCTTGTCAGGATGATCATCCTGCTGGGATGGTTTTCCTGCTGGGAATATTGGTCCCTTTCTCCAAGGATTTAGCAACAGTGGTGTGATGTTACTTACAGCCCATCAGGTATTTCTTTACAAGGCCCAGTAATTGTTTCTAAGGGGCTTCGGTACGTGCAAGCTGTGCACTTGACTGAATCTGGTAAGTGATAAAGTTGTACTCTGAGATGGTGATGGTCGATGGTCTCTGATTGCACCCCTGATAAACCGATGCTGGAGTGAGTGTGCAGCTCTGAAGGACCTCGTCTGTACAGGTTCTGAACAGCAAAAATTGTACATACTCTTGGAAAAACCCCTCTGACGAACACAGGCTTAGCTCTGCAGGACTGTGACAATGTTCCTCGCTTGCATCTGAATGTAAGCTCGTTGAACTGTTGTTGTCATCGGTGGGGGTGGTGGAAATATTTGGGTGAAAGATGGATTTCTGATGCTGGCAAAGTCTGCTAGGAGGTGGAGACGGGGGAGCAAGATTGTGAGAAAGGCTGGTCAGAGACAAAAAAACTGAGGTAATGGTAATCCCACAGCACTCTGATTTTCATGTGAGGTATCCCTAGAGGCTTTCTTTTGGTATGGTCGTATCTGTCTAAGGCCAAGATCAGTTTCTGTTGTTAAAACGTGTACATTGATTTTTTTTTTTTACAGCTCTTGTAATGTGAATGATTCATACAAATAAGTAGCAAAGTTGACTAAGTTTGACAGTGATTTGCATAAAATGATACAAAGTACAAATAAGAATCTCGATTGTTTTGTACTAGTTTAGCCAATTTCTGTGTGTTAAGTTGACTGTATTCCCTTTAAACTGTGAAGTGTATTTTGATTATTATTTCGGTCAGTAGAATGGTGCTTCCATGATAACTAACCAGTCTGAAACTACGTGTTTTTCTGACACATCTTATTCTCGCTTGTGGTGGCAGCCACAACACTCCTGAACTTTGCTCTGCCGGGGTAACTCACAGTCTCGCAGTGCTGCTGATGGCGATGGCTTCAGAACTCGTCAGTTGTTGGGGTACTTTGGTGGTGGTGTTTGGGGGTTGCATGCTGCACTTTCCTTCTCCATGCACATGTGGTTTGCTTTGTTTTCCTTTCGCTTTGTATTTATTTACTAAGTGTTTTTCCTGTCTTTAATTGCTTACTCCTCTGGGACGTGGCAGGCCCTGTAGCTAAATGAATGCGGCAGTTCAGCGGGTTATAGGTGGCAGGGCTATGAGGAGCAGGGCTTGGGTTCTGGCATGGCCCTGGCAGTGCTGGTTAGGTGCTGATCTTGTCACACCAACTCCTTCCAGCAGCTGCTGTCCCTGGGAAGAGCTGCTGGCACCCTGGATCAGTACTTAAACTGAGGTATGGCGTAGACTTGTGGCACGCTACCGGTCTGAAATTTCCACAACTCTTCCTTGCACAGGACGAGTGAAAGATGTGAGGACTGTTCTAAATGACAGGGCAGCTAATTTAAAAGAGCTAATTGTGGTCAGTATGGCATCTGTGGCTAGTTCTGCACGAGCAGATACACTGCTTTCACTTTAATCATCGATAATTAAGAGTTGGCAGTTCAGCAGCCAAGCTAAATCTGACTTTGGATTTATTCTCAGGTGTCAGGTGTGCAAGTAGGTGGGAGTTGGCCAAGCAACTTGAAGTGAGAAATTAGTTCAGCTGTTCTGACAAAGTACTATTTCCAGGGCTTTAATTTCATATGTAAAAGGTTAGATGGAAGTTGACATCAAAAGATAACGTTTTAGCAAAGTATTGGTGATTTCCTTCATGTGCAGTTTCTGTATTACTCTGCAGCTTTTTTAAAAAACAGGAGACAATTTTTAGTGCTTGTAGTGCTAGAATTTAAAAGATGGTCTAGCAAGGCACTGTAGCTGTATTTTAGAACATCAGGAAGGCACTGATCCCAGAAAAGACATAATAAGTTTATTGAAAGGGAAGTGCGTTACTAGTTTGCTGTGATTTGAAGGGCAAATAGAAACCTTACAGACAGTCCGAGATGGCTAGCAGGTTTTGAAGGGCAACATGGAGCATAATTTAGAGAAGAAGGAAGATTATTTTAATTGTTTTAAAAAGGTACCTTATGTCCTCTTACTCGCCTGAGTTAAGGACATAAAACTCTGTCTTTAGCAGATTTTTTTTTCCCCAAGTGTATGTTTTGTCACCTATGCCGAATTCTAAGTTTTTCGGCCGTGTTAAAGAGGGCAGCTCAGGTTGGTGAACCTAACGTGTTCTGTTCCCTCCCCCTCTGGGCAGAAGGGAGATCCAGGGGTGCCGACTCCTGCCCCGGGGAGAGGGTGAGGGCCAGCACTGCTGGCTGCAGCACCTGGCTGCCCTGGGCCCCATAAGGATGCACCCCTCTTCAGGATTGGGGATGCTGTAGGTCACGAGTAGGGTCCAGTCATTTTTGTGCCCAAAGTGGCTGAATTCCCGTGGAAGATGTTCACAAAAGGCCTTGACTTTATTTTCCGTGTTGGTGCCTACACTCGTCAGCCTTCTGCTTCACTTTGCCTGTCACTAACACAACCTAATCCTGCTAACTGCTGCTGCCTTGGTGTGGGGCTAGAGGGGTGAGGTGAGCATGGACGCTGACCCTTGGCTAGTGGGGCCAAAGCCTGGGCGTCTGCTCCGCCGCAGGGATGCAGCGACTGATCCGATGCACGTGGTGTGTTCCTAGACGAGTTGTTCCATCTGCCTGCTCGAGCTGTTACACGGGGGTACCCGATGATAAACAAGAGGAATGAATACGGTTTGCTTTTCAGTCAAGGCCTCGGCAGGCGTTAACTTTCAACTTTAATAGGCTGATGTGTCACGCTTTTCATTTTAATTTGTCCCAGCATTTTCCTTTATGGTCCATCATTAGATATTGATCAGTTGAAGCTCATTTTGAGACTCGTTGGAACCCCAGGGCCTGAGCTTTTGAAGAAAATCTCCTCAGAGTCTGTGAGTTTACACTTTGATTGTAATATCTGCCCTTTCGGAAGTCCCAAGTTTGTGTGTTGCCCTCCTGTAGTCTGTCCCTAGTATGTGTTGGGGTTGATTTTCTGTTGGTTTTCTTCCTTTGTCGTTCTTCGCTCTTGGATGGCTTTGAGTTCCTACGCTGTTTGTATCTGATCTTTATTCCTCTTCCCTCTGCCTGCAGTATGATTTCTTCTTTCCACATTCTCATTTTACTGCTTCGTGACTTTTCTTTCAGTTTGTGGGTTTATACTTCGTGATATATTGTACGATCAGATGCTGCTGGAGAAGTATTTTTCACAGCTAAGAGCTTGAGGCTCATTTCGGTTGTTATTTCTCCAGGTTGCCTACCCAAGGCTCGCTCTTAGCAGGAGCAAGCGTGTTACCCTCTGAGTGCACGCTGTAGTGTAATTAACTTTTGAAATGCTGCAGCCACCATCTTTGGGTTTGTAGCGTAAAATCCAGAATGCCTTTTAGGTGCCTTTTGTGTGGCAGCTGTTTCCAGGGCACACGGGATATAGTCTGCTGAGAATATAACTCAGTTATGTATTTTAAGGGTTTTGCTGGATGGGGCCCTCTTTTTCTGAAGTAATCCCAAAAAACTTCCTGCAGTCCCCTCTGGGGGGTGTCCTCTATCCTCAGCCACGCTGCTGTTTCTGTCGTGAACTCCTTCAAGGAGGGTAATACAGGGCATTTAATTTCACCCGTTTGTGAAGGGCGTAGAGGCAGAGCAAGAGATGCCCTGAAGTACAGATGAACGAGCGCCTGGTGAGCGAGGAGGTAGCCAGCGAGTCGCTGTTTCTGGCACGTGGCAGAGGATCAGCGGGTGGAGAGTGGCGATAAGATGATTTTGTAGCGCGGCTTACGTTCCGTTTCGCGTACGAGCGGCGGCACGTGGGAAACGCGAGGTCGCCTTTGGTGACATCTCGTGGGGGGACGCACGCCATGCAGGTTGGGATCTGTTGGTCCTCTTGCTGAAAGACACGCAAATTTAAAAAGCCCAGGGAAGTTCTGCCCTCGGAAAGGTGGAACTGAATAAGCGGGTTGCTTTGGGTGCCCTGTGGCCTGACCTGTTGGGACCAGAGGACGGGTAGGCTGGTGTTTGAAGTGCAGGGGATTAGCAAGAGAGGAGCTTAAAGGTTGACTGGGTTAAGCAAACGATTAGTTTGCATGCGTAAGATAGAAGTGGGTGTCTTTTTTTTTTTTTTTAAGGTTGCACAATAAAAAGAAGAATTACTCTTAGCCAGGTTCAAATTAAGTCTGTTAAAAAGCAGGAAAGTACTGTTTCTACTTTTTTTTTTTTCCATTGTATGGAGGTAGCAAAACTGAAGTGTTTGAGGGCCTTCAGTGTGTCACTGTGACGAGTTCTGTTCTCTGCTGCACTACTTTGCTTGCTCTGACTCTGTTCACTGACACCAGCTAACTCTGTCTTATGCAATGCTCATGTTTTGCTAATTTTGCATTTATTGCCTTCTGTCACCTCGCCCACGTACCAAAGCGCATTCAAAGCTGTTTCGGAGGAGGTGTCGGTTGTGAGCCGACTTCACTTTGCACCACAAGTTGCTACAGCACTTTCTATGCAGCGAGGAAAAGCTGGTAACCAGCGCAGAGGGGACAGTTTTTGTTTCTGTTTTAATTTCTTTTTTGTGTTCCTGAGGCTGTCTGTAGCTGTGGCAGCCCAGGAAAAAATTATGATTAGCTTCAGCCAAAGGAAATGTCTGCTCTGGTGGCTTTAAAACCGCTGGGAAACGTGAACTCAACCGTGTTGTAGCATAACGCTGCTTATGGCCGTCAGAAATACTTCAGTGACACTGTTACCAACTGCCCAGGAATTAATTTCTTTTTTGTGTTCCTGAGGCTGTCTGTAGCTGTGGCAGCCCAGGAAAAAATTATGATTAGCTTCAGCCAAAGGAAATGTCTGCTCTGGTGGCTTTAAAACCGCTGGGAAACGTGAACTCAACCGTGTTGTAGCATAACGCTGCTTATGGCCGTCAGAAATACTTCAGTGACACTGTTACCAACTGCCCAGGAATGGAATGCACCACAGCTACACTTTTCACCAGTATTTGAAAAATATTAATGACCCTGTGTGGCTTTTGCCTTGTGGTGTGCAGAAGAGATGCTTTGTATGCAGCTGTTTTCTGTTTAAAGTGGTTTTTGCACTCTTTTTAACAAAGCCCTTGACTAGGCACTTAAGATATTAACCAGCTTCAGCAGATCATGCGTCTGACGGGAACACCCCCTGCGTATCTCATTAACAGGATGCCCAGCCATGAGGTGAGACCTGAGCGGCTGAGGGGGGGTCGCAGGGCAGGTCTTCACGTGTTCCCTGCTCCCGTAAACGATGCGCTGGCATGTGGCATGGGGTGGGCAGTGAACTACCTGCTCTTCAGCAAGATTTCTGTACTACACGGAGTTTTGAGATGCGGACAGTGCGTACTCAACCACAGACTTCTGAGGCTCGGGAGGGCCTGGGTGTGCATTGGTTGTGCACCATGTTGTGCGGCTTACCGACGCGCCGCATGCAGCCTTCCAGGGCCGCCGAGGCAGGCAGCTCTTGCAGCACCTCTTTGCTTTCTAGTCCTGCACGAACCCCACGTCACGTCAGCTCTTCCTCCACTGTCTTGAGCGGCCTTTGGTTGGGGAGGGATAATGCTGATGGGTATAGTATCAGGATAAGTAGAGAAGGCAAAGCAAGGAGACAGACCATAATAACCAGTGCTTCAGGATGATTGACATGTCTTGGTGGCTGGGGTGTATTATGCTTTAACAGAGCGTTTGTTTCCACAGGCAAGAAACTACATTCAGTCTTTGTCTTACATGCCGAAAATGAACTTTGAAAATGTGTTCATCGGTGCCAACCCACTAGGTAAGGCTGCCTTTCCCACTGCCGCGCTCTTCCTGCGGTGGTGCGAGCGTGTCCGGCAACACCAGGGTTGCCCAGAGGTTTAGGTGACTGTTATGCTTTAACAGAGCGTTTGTTTCCACAGGCAAGAAACTACATTCAGTCTTTGTCTTACATGCCGAAAATGAACTTTGAAAATGTGTTCATCGGTGCCAACCCACTAGGTAAGGCTGCCTTTCCCACTGCCGCGCTCTTCCTGCGGTGGTGCGAGCGTGTCCGGCAACACCAGGGTTGCCCAGAGGTTTAGGTGACTGTGGAAGTCGTTCAGAGCTATACGCTGTTTCAAAGGTCACAAAGTCTGTGTGGGCTGAGGGGTGAAGGGGAAGAAATC